CTTGACTGAAACACCTTAGATTAATTTGATTCAGTTTCATTAATTAGATTCTAAAATGTAGATATCTATCAAAACACTGCTAGTTTGTATATCATGAATGCTTCAATAACATCAAATCTGTTATATTGAGTGTAAAGCATTTTTATCTCTCAACTTGCCATGTGTATGCTTTGTGTGTTTGTATGTTTTCTACTTCATGAACATTTTATCACCATCACGTGATACTGGTATATGGTGTACCAAATTCTGATCCCAAGATCCAGACTGGAAAGTTAGATGAAGAGTTAGAAAACCCTTCACAGCCAGGAGAAAAAGGAACTTTTAACACCTGCTTCATCAAGTTTACAGCTAAAATGGTGTCTACACTATTATTTCTCTCTTTTCAAAGAGGATTTTCTACTAGTGGTTGTCATTTTTTTAATATTTGGCATGCTGTACCATTTTAGAGTCTTTAGGTATGGAAAAGCATAACTAGAAAAGCACTTTTTCTTATATACAGTATTGCACTATGCACATAGTGAATCACACTGCCATCATAAAACTGTTTATCATAACACTGATAAGGTCAGATAAACTTTATCAGAAAGTTTGGTTGAAGTCATGATCAACCTTCTTACTGTGTAGGTATAGCTCATTATCAGACAGTCCACAGAACCTCTTCATATACAGACAGTGGAAACTCCCATGGAAATCTTCCTGCCAGTTTACCAAATTCAGGTCTCAGAAAGAAGTAAAGTTTCACACGTGGCCAGTTAAATGTTATCTGCTACATGTGCTTGAGCTTGTTCCTTCATGCCATTGATGCAACAGAGTTTAAGGTCAGAGCTACCCTGACCTTTAAGCACATAGTAAAACTAGACAAATGTTCTACAATCACTTGATCAAGTTTGGAACACATTCCCAGGTATTTAAACAAAACAAGAGTCAGTTTCTGACTGATCTGCTGTAATATTACGTATTTATGTTGGTCTCAGACTCTGGGTTTGAGCAACTACTTTTCCTTAAAGATCAACAACATAAGCAAAGTGCAAATATAAATAGAGAACAAAAATAAGAAATGAGGCTTTATTATAGAAAAACAGCACTTGAATATTTTTGCAGGATTTAGGTAATTCAAAATTTTCATTAGTTAAACAACTGCAAAAGAGACACTTTCAACAAGAAGGCAATAATGCAAGCTACCAAGAAACCCTGTGTAAGCAACAGTTCCAGAAACCCAAGACTTTGAACACTGGGCTTCTTTCAAGGGAAAAACATTTTATTGTGGGATTCCACAATCATGTTGATCATAGTTGCCCTGCATAATTTCACATTGTGGAATCTTTATAAGACATCACTTATGACTGTTTGGCAATTTAGTCATTGAAAAGTAAAAGTTTGTTCTTAATCCTCACTCTCTTAATGCCCTGTTAGAAATATTCTCCTCTACTTTTTATTACCACGAATGAGATATATTGCTAGCAGTTAAATAACACCTGATCATCAAGAGCAAATTATATTACAAATATAGTAATTCTACATACTTGAAAGCATTTTGAATATTATTTCTGAATTTTTTTGATTTCTATCTCCAAAATGCTCATCACTCTTATCTCACTGACAGGAACAGCACTACCCCATCAGCATAGTGAATTCAATTTTGTCTCTTCAAATTTCTTTACTGAATATGAACAGCAGTTACTTTCATTGTTTTCATTATACTCAAAGGAGATTTTGAAGTATTTTTTAAAAGCTTTGCCATTTCCTTGTACATTAAGTGAATCTACAGACTAATAGTTATTTGTAAAAGTCCAACAGAAAATGTACAACCTCTACATGCAGATAAAAGTTTCCCAAGTAAAACCAACCCAGTATCTTTGTCCCCTTTCGCCTCCTCACTTGCAGTACTTTTTTACATATCTGCTATGCTATGGGTTCCCAAAGAAAGGACTTGCATTTTTGTTTAACCTGTTTCAAGATTTTGCCTTGAGAAATATATGTTTATTGTATTAACACCAGCCTTTTTTTTACATATATAGCCACATATGGGTAATCAGGAACCCAAAAGACAAAAGGTATCTACAATGCATATATATTTTAGAACTCAGTGTCAAGAAACATTTTAAGTAACTTTTGTGATCCTCACAACTTTGATCCCCTCATTAAGTTGTATGTGTATGTATTAGTTACATTCAACTGTATTATTAAATCATAATTAGTATATACAGTTTTAAATTGTTGTTCAGGCTGAGTAATTTAAATAATCTGGTTTTATTTCAAAAAGACTAGATATGGAAAAAAATTCATTTTCTGGATAACAAAGCAGTTCATTTTATACAAATGGTTGTATTTAACCAATAAAGCAATTGAATTTAACAAATAAAGTAACCTTCCTCACACCAGGGAAGGTAAAATAAATGGTGTATGAATAGAACAGTTTCTGTGAAAAAAAATTACAAAAAATATATAGGCGGTTTGATTTGAAACAGCAAATGCATCTCAGATTACACAAATAATTAAAATAGAAAATAAGCCTTTTCCAACATATATAAAGCTACTATATTAAGTACTTTTTTACCTATGCACAAAACCTCATAACATACAAAAATACCCTCACAAGACAGAGAAAATCTATGCAATTGCAAAAGCCAGCTATTTCCAATTATGTTTTAATTTCTCATAAAGATAAGTACTATACAGAAATTACAAGAAAATTAGAATTTTGACCAGGAATTTTAACTCACAAAATGTAATCTTTTATTTGCATGAATTATTATTAAAAATCCCACCTCTGTAGTAGCACTAAAAATTAAAAAAAAAAAAAATAATGCATTTATGCTCAGAGAAATTATGGGCAGGACATTTCATGGAAGAAATATGTTTCAAATTTATAGGACTGCACGTGAGAATTTAAACACTATTTTCTACTGCATTTAAAATACAAATACTCTGTATTTTCTTATTGAGGAGCAATTTCCCACCATTATTTCTGATATTAAATATTTTAAAAGTATTTAAAGTCCATAGAAAATCAAGTATCTCTCAATAAATAGGATTGGTTTAGTGCTGGTAATTATATAGTATACTGCAATGAAACTAAGAAGTCCATCAGTCCATCTCTGAGGAACACCCTGTAGTCTTGCACTTTCTACACAAAAACAGGTACAACTCTGTTTGTTCATTTTGCCAATGCCTACACTGTTCATTGCCTGACATTGCTTCCCATCAAACTCAATAACCTGTATCTTTTCTGATTACAGTCAGGTTTCTGATGTACATTCTTGAACATTCTTTGAAAATCCTAACTAGAAAACCCAAACACCCTCTCAACAGACTCTCAGTCTGTGGATTCCTTTAAAAATTAAAATTATGAAGCTGCTATGTAAAACCTAAGACTTTTGTTTATGTAACTGCATTGACCTCTCATTTGTCTCTAAATAATTCTATATTCTTAACCTGGTAAGACTCTGCTGATATAGACTTTGAATAGTCTGTGAAAACAACTTTAAGATGTTCCTTGTATCAAGTTATTCCTTCTTAACCTTTCTTGTTAAAATAATTCTGCTGAACAATAATATAATATGGTTTTGAGCAGGTCCACCTACTGCAAACAGAACAGGGTACTAAATTAGAAAAGAGAAGAAATTTAAAATTGACAAAATAAAATTCAAAGAAAATATTACAGCATTATTATATACACAAAAAAAACCCAAAAATAAAATTGATTTTAAAATACAGCAGTCATAAATTACACTGCACTTAGTATAAAAACTTCAGCTCCCTGATTTTTTAAAAAAATATTTGGCTGATTTAGAAAAATATAGCAAAAAAACGCAAAGGCAAACCAGGAGACCAACTAGCAGGTTCAGTGAAACTTAAATGTATTCCTGCAAGTGACTTAAGAGCTTTGCAGCCTAACAAAAATATTTCTAGTAATTTTCTCATGAAACCCATTGAATGCATTGGAGAAACGTGGCACTGGCTCAAAAGTTCACTTAGACCTCCAAGACCACATTGCAAATATTTAATGTTAAAGGAAGAACATGAGCTTATGCTTAAAGGAGAAAGTAACAGCACAGTGAAACAAAATATCTAATTCTATTATTGTGCTAAGCTTTTACTTTTCCAAAATTCCCCTTTTCATCTGGAGATAAACTCTATAAAGCAGAAAAAAACTATGTATCACAACAAGAAAACACAGGATGCATGTTTTTTATTTAAAGGAATCCTATCCATTAGAACAATGGTTTTGTTAAATACAGGGAACAGAAATTTGAATATCCTAGTTCTGGCAGGATCTGATAAATATCAAAACAGGAGACAAAGCCTAAAAAGCAGAAGGATTTGTTTTACTGCTTTATCTGTTGAACCATATAAAACAGTCTGCTCTTGTATTCATATTCAAAATCTCAGTGGACAAGGCATATAATAGAACCCAAACTCAAAAAATAAACATAGGTATTGCTACTGTTTCATTAAACTTGCAGCTTGACTTTGCAATTTAATGACTATTTGGAACAAAATAAACACATTTATTGTTATTATGACTTGTAAAGGTTCACTTTACAAGTGAAATTTTAAATACTTCCATAACTTCCAGGAAGCCAAAACTCTGCAACTTGAAAGCAAGCAAAATGTCATGATTTCAAAAAGAGAACAAAGCCAAAATAAATTCTTATCTGCCTATCATGAGTTCATACCCAAAATATTTTCCTTTGAACACCATTTATACTTTTTAAAACAAGTTGTACAATGCACAAACATTTTATTTAACTCTGCCTACCTAGAAAGATTAACTGATAAACAGTAAATAATAAATAGCAAAAAAGTAAAGTAAAACAAATACTACTGGAAAAAAAAACAATTAAGGAAGAAGTTTGTCAATATCCACTGTTGATAAAACAAACAAAAAAATTCACTGCAGTGACAATATTTATAAAAAAGAGCAATAAATAAACAGTATGCCCTAGTGTCTAGAAGCTATATTTCAGATAATTAGGAACAATGGCATCTTATAGTACCTTCCATTGCCCTTTTAAAGAAGACTTTACAACTTCCACAGGTAAGCACTCCATAGTGGCAACCTGAAGCCTCATCACCGCAGATGAGACAAATCTTCTGGGGCAGTGATTCGAAACTGAACTGAGAACTTTGGCTGGTTTCCGTATCTGGCCTTGAGAAGAAAAAGAATTAAAAGAAATGAAAGATCTAGCTTTGTGCAGTTAACTACTTACCTGTATTAAAGAGTTTTATATCAAAAACTTCATTTTAAAATTCATAGTCAAGATACAGAAGGACATGAAAAAACTAAAGTATGATTGCCTTTCTGCTTAATGGTTTGTCTCTACTATGGTAATACAGGAAAGCATTGCAAAAAAAAAGCAGAAAGTTATATTTTAAACCACTTAGCAAAAAAGGTACCATCTAGGACACTGTTAAAATGTTCATCGTCCTCAGATCAACAACTCTTGTGAGTGGAGTCATAGTGATGATTTTTTTTTCCTGTACAGAGACAGAATCACACAGATGTCAATTGAATTTCAAAGGTCTCTCTCACGGGAAACATGAAATTTCATTTCAACTAGCAAAATCTTTAATAATCAATTTTTCACCCCCCATTCAGCTGCAGCATTCTCAGCAGTAACTAAGTCTGATGGGGACATCAAGGATATTTCCAATTTGTCTCCAAGAAAAGGCAGACTAATCTAGGTAACCACTGCATTTACTAAAAGAAAGGATATCCATTGAAACTGTAACATTGCATGCACCTTTTGTTGCATCTATTTTTAGGTAATGCACATCTCAGCATGACAGTACACCATTTCATTCAAGCAAATCAATACATAAGTGTTTCAGTTTTGGGGGTTTTTTTCCGTGTAAAAACAACTGTTTTTTGTGGTGTTGGGTTTCTGAGCTTTGGGGTTGGTTTTGTTGTTGTTGCTGCTGTTGTTTTGGGGGGTTTTATGTTCGTTTTCAAACTGGGAACACTATTTTGGAAAATATTTAGCTATTGATGAATACGGTATCACTGAAAGTGAGGACAAGCTAGAAAACCAGCACGCCGTCCCTGGGGCCGGGCGCTGGCTCGGACATCGGGCGTCCCTGAAGTCCCGCTGCGATAACAAAGCCACATCCCTGGGGCGTCTTCGTGCCCAAAGCCGCGAGGTGCCAGCTGCGGAGCCGGGACACCGCGGCGTGCGCAGGCAGCGCAGGGAATGCGGACGGGCCTGCGGGCACTACCGAAAAGCCCAAAAAGGCCCTCGCCGACAGAAACTTTGTTCTTTCCTCAGCATTCCCTTAATATCCCCCCTTAATATTCCCTTAATATGCCCACCACGCGGCACGCGCGCTCGCCCCTCCGGAGGAGGAGGATGAGGAGGAGGCGCGGAGTTGTCCCGCCACGCAGCTCGACCCCCCGGTCCCGTCCCTCAGCGAGCGCCCCGCCGCCCCCGCCTTACCGCGCGTAGCCGAGGTAGGGCGGGCAGAGCTGGGGCAGGCCCTCCTTGAGCACGGCGGCCGGGAAGCCCAGCGGCTGGTGCCCGTTCAGCCCCAGGGCCGGGTAGAGCCCCGGCGGCGCGGCCGATGTGGAGGGCAGGCTGTCGGGTGGCGCCGCCGGCCCGTAGGCGCCGGCCAGCAGGGTGGGCTCCGCTTTGTAGAGGACGCACTCCAGCGAGGGCTCCTGCCCGGCCCGCGGAGCCTGCGGGTAGTCGTGGCAGCCCGCCGCGGGGGTGGCCCTGCCGCCCGGGTAGCGGGAGGCGAGGCCGAGACCCTCCTCCTTGATCTTCATTACCGGCTGGATGTCGTAGGCGAAGGGCCCGTCCTTGGCGTCGGGCGGCGGGAAGCCGTAGGCCGGCAGGTCCGGGGCGGGGGGCGAGCAGCGCGGCACCGCGCCGCCCTCGTACTCCGCCCCGTCCAGCAGCTGCCGCGTGCGCGATGCCAGGAAGGCCGAGTTGAGCGGCAGCAGCGGCACGTGCAGGTATTCCTGCCCCGGGTCCCCCGCCCGGGACCCGCCGGGCAGCGCCCCGACACCCGGGGCATCGCCCTTGGGCGCCGCGGCGGGACACTCCGCGCCGGCCCCCGGCCCCGCCGGCCGGGCGCCCCGGGGGCGGCTTCGGCCGCCTTCTGCGAGGGGCCGCTGCTCATCGGGCCGTCGGGCGCCGCCTCCGCCTCGAAGAAGGACCAGGGCGCCGCGGCCACGGTGGAGTTGGCATGAGCCGCAGGCGCCAGGAAGGTGTCCAGGACGGTGTCCAGGGAGTCCTTGACCGAGAGGGAGCCGCTCCCTGGCTGGTAACAGATGGAGTCCCGGCCGTCCTCCCGCCCCAGATGCTGCTGCGCCTCTTCCTCCTCCTCCTCTCCTTCCTCCTCCTCCTCCTCCTCTTCGTCCTCCTCCTCGTCGCTGCTCTTGGGGTAAAGCAGCCCGTCCAGGGAGATCTCGACGGACTCCGCTTCCTCGCGGAAGGGATCTCGGCCAGGCTGACTCTGCAGCAGGACCGCCCCGTCTGTGGCAGGCGGAGGCGCTCTGGGCTCCTTGGCTTTCACCTCGGTCATGCTGGCCCGGGGCAGCGATGGACGCCGGCGAGTCTCCGGTAGCGACAGAGCGCGGGCAGCCGGGCAGCGACGGGGTGCGAGCAGCCGGACGGCTCTTTACATGCTGGACGTGCCCGCTGCAGCGGTGGCGCGGCTCCTGCTCACATGGTGCTGCTCTCGGAGGGCGGCTCTGCCCCGGCCCCCGCCGCCGCCACGGGGGTGACTCGGAGCCGGGGGCGGTGCAGCCTGGAGAGGGGAAACGATGGGAGCGTGTTGCGGGAGGCGTGCAGGAAAGGAGGGTGACTGCCAGGCTCCGGCGGTGGCGGACAGGCTGACTCCGCGCTCCGCTCGTCCCCCGACTGTTTCCCACCGCCTGGGCGGGCTGGCCGTGGGCTCCACGCCCCCTCGCCCGTCCCTCCCTCCCCGCCCCTCCTCGCCTCCAGCCCCGTCCCTTACCGAGGGTCTTAGCTGCGGGGCCCGGGCTGCCGCCTCCCGGTCCCACCGCTCCGCGCCGCCTCTGGGAACCACTGCTCCTCCAGCGGCACTTCCATCGGCTCCTCCTCCGCTCCGCCTGTCCCCCTCCCATCGCCCGCCGTGCCCGCATCCCTTTCCCATCGCATCCGGCGCCTTGTTCCTTAGGTCAGCGCTTTTTGGCTTCTGATCATCTCCCTGTCTTCTTGTTCCTTTCCCCCACCTCTTGTGCCGCTGCTCCGTCCTCTCGCTTCACCATCCCAAGAAGCGCGGCTTTGCACTGAGCAGAGGGCACAAGATTCTGGTTAGGGCGCTGCTTTGGAAAGGAGAGAGAAAGACAAACTTCACTTATTTGCAGTGACGGCTCCCTTTTGTCTGTTTTTCACTGTCCCCTTCAGACGTTCAGTGTAGTTTTTCATGATTAAGCTCTGTTCCAAAACCCCTCGTGATGCAAGATCCGTTTTCCAGTAGCAAGAAACCAAAGCATTGTAAAGTTCTTCATGTGACGTTACAGGACGTCAAAGCATCCTTTACACCAAGAAGCACAACATCTTTTCAGCAAAAGATTTGGAAAGTGGGACACTCAGGACATTTTAAAAAGACTGGCTGGCCACCCTGAATATAGCTAGCAGATTGCAATTCAGCCCAGGTGAGTTCTGACCAAGAAGCTGTCACCAGCTAGTTGCTGTCATTTTGTGTAAAATGCTGGCTTTTTGGCAGAACCCACTCAGCTCAATAAGACAGCTACTAATGTGAGGGGGAAAAAAAGCCAAAAAATCAATGCAACCTTTAGTATACTTTTCATTATATAGAAATCTCAAGAAAGAGACTTGAGTTGAAAGATACAGAATAAATTGGTATAGGAGTAGTCCTCCTGACTTTAAGTAGAATCAGTATATTTTTGGATTAAAAAAGTGTGCTGTTAAATCCTTGGTTATGTCCTGTAGATTTTTTTTTTTTTGGGAAAGGAAACAGGTTTCTTAAAAAAAAAAAAACAAAAAACAGTGACCATCACAAAATAGTTGCTTTTGTTGTTTACTTTCCAAACATCTTCAGACTGAAAAGGACAGCTTCTTGGGGAGAGAAACATAACTGTTGGAAATTATTTTAGTTTTTATTAAATCATATAAAGCAAGTTATAGAAGCAGCAGCTTCGCTCAAACCTTATTCAATGTGGTGTGTACTTTCTACGTTATTCTTGTCAAAACTCAACTGGCTTATAGACTGCTTTGGGACTCTGCTTTTTTATTCCTTTAAGAATAAACAGAAGAAAATATTTTTTTGGTATTCAAAAGAATTGTGGCAATATGATAATAAGTGGTATTGTAAAACTCAGATGTTATTGTGGGCGCCTCTATACACATTTAGGAGGTTCAACAGAATGATGTACTTTCAAATACACTTGTTGAGTATAGGAATATTTCTTGAACAGGAGTGATTCACTCTGTTGATGTTGCATGGGAAAGAACTGTTTGGCCAGCAAGTACCAGGAGCTGAAGGTGTTTTCACAAAACCTGTCAGTGGAACCAATGTTGAAAGAATTATTAAAGACATGCTATGCAGTTCTGTAAGGACATGACATTAAAATAATTTGAAGTGCTTCAGTGACTAATGAGTTTCTGTTTTACATGCCACAAAATTTCTTCCAAACCTGCCTTTTCTCAGAGGAGAGAGAAGTTAATCTTCAGTACTGTTCATCTCCATGCTTGTTTTGGTTTTCCCCTGATGTTGCATGTTTAGTCAGCTGGTTGTCATGCCTTTTTATTGCCACTGCCTTGCTTTCTCATTTCCACTTCCCCATATGCACACAGCATTCATGGCCTGGATCTTTACAAAAGTGTGCTCCAAAGACATGTCTCCTTACAGTGACTTCCCCCCTTCCTACTGCTTCTGGACTAGGAGAGGTAAAGAGCCACAGATGGCCAGAATAGAGGGTCCTGAAAGGAAAGCAGCACTGAGCAGTTTCCACTCACTGCTGCTCATGACTTGTCCATTAAAGTTCTACACTAATAAGGCCATGGGACTGTAAACACCTACAAATTTACCAGAAATACAAACATTTACTACTTGCATTATTTTTCTAGATGTTAACAGTTAAATATTGTCCAGGTTTTCTGCTGTGCTTCCTAATTTCATTTTTATGACCTGACAAATGTACTCTAATGGTAACAGTAATTGTGCTGAGTTGTCATTGCTTAAGGAAAATATTTGGGGTTCTTTATCCATAAGAAATTCATTGGACCTAAGTGAGTAGACCTTAATTTATATTGGCTTCACATGATTTCTATGAACTTTCACTGGAAGCTTTTGCTATTTTCTTTACATTATTCTGTCCATAACCCTCATGCCCATATCTGGAAGTGTTCAAGGTCAATAGTCGGGCATTGAGCAATGTGATCTAGTGAAAGGTGTCCCTGCCCCTGAGAGGAGATTTGGAATTAGGTGGTCTTTAAGGTCCCTTCCAACCCAAGGTGTTCTGTGATTCGTTTCTTTTGCTCTTAGATTTTCTCACATCATTTGGAAGCTTTCCATGATACTGCCATGGTACCACAGTTTTTTCAATAAGAACATTTCAAAATATGTCCTCAATTTTTTTAGCACTCTACTGTTGTCATTTCTTAATTTTCATTTATTCACTTGGTATGTGAATGAACATTAAAGAAAAACAGGTTCTGGTGTATTTATAGCTAGTTTTCATTTGCAAGCCATTAAAATTGCAACTGATATTTTCAATTCAGACATTTTTTTTTTATTCAGTAATATTTTACTGAATATAAAATTTTCAAAGAGCAAACTGTATGAAAGTACTTATGTACAGACCTATTTTGAACCCAAAAGTAAAGGCGCTGGAGAGTTTGATTGATACTCTTGCACTTTTTTTAAATTCTTTGAGAATGTGAAAATATATCTGAGAGCTTGAATAAGTTGTGTCTATTTTCTTGCTCTGTTCAAGAACCATGGATGAGTAAAAGCTGCACTGAACAAAATTTCTTATCTGTCTCGCTTTTCAGCACGATTCTTTTTCTAAAATGTCAACAAGAACAGCAATAGAATTGTACTGATACTCCCACTGTAATGCTCTAGATTTGCACTTAATTTTTAAGTAGTTCCTGAGTATTTTAAGTAGTTCCTGAGGCTGACCTTTCAGCCATTCAACTGTACACTTTTAAACAGTAAAATTTTTTTGATAGACCCTTTGAGAGATATTTCTAATGGTTTTGGCTTAAATAAAAATACAATGTTGTGTGAGAAACAAGACAAGTACACAACCTCCTCAAACAGTACAAATATCAAAATCACATACTTTTTCTATGATGACTTTTATCTTTAAAGTATCTTGAAGTATGGGATGAAGGTCAAACAGATACAAGTTCCTTTTCTCACACTAAAGTGTTCCATTTGTTTGTCAAGATTGCTCCATATAAACAGTGAGTGAGCTAGTGTTTAAACCTGGAAAATGACAGATTAATTACACTGAATTAGTGTCTTAGCCCATACAGTCCTTTCTTAGAACATTGTTCTGCACACCTGTTGGAGAAAAGAACTTAGAAGTTAAAAATACTGGTTTCCTGGTTTTCGGTTAATCAGTGGCTTGCAATTTTGTATTATCATTGTTCAGGACATAGTACAACCAAAAATGTGATTCACTTCTTATAAACAGAGAGGAGGAGAAACTGCTTCAAACAGCATAAGGAGATACATATAGGCTTTTGCTTCTTTCACAGAAGTAACATTTTTATTAAAAAAAAAATAGACCTCTGTAACTGTATGAAAAGCCCTGCATTTCCGCATGTAGTGTAGACAATAAAAACATAATACTGTCATGCGAATAACAGCACATTCTTGTTGTGTTACATTTTTTGAGACATTTCTTTCCATGGTTTCATCCCTATTCTGTAAAAAATTACACCCCCAGTTAGCAGGCTGAATTTCACTTACATTAGGGTGCCAGCAGACATTAAATATGCTCTTCTCAGAGATCATGATTTTGGAGTAGCAGCTAAGTCATGGAAGCACTCAGCATCAGGAATATGATTTGATGATAACTGTTCGCATCTGAACCTGGTGATTAGGCTTCCATAGTCAGGTAAGAGTCATAGATGTCTGTAGGTACCATTTTTCTGGAGCTCTTCAGATACTTTGTGTCTTATTAAAGACATGAAGGACTTAGTTGATCTGAGGCACTCAAAGAGCCATGATTTTTTTGGCAGTGCAGTGTCGATGTCTAAATGAAGAGGTATGAACATAGTCCTAAATCCTTAAAATGCAGTATCAATGTGCTCTACTATCAATGTGCATTGTTTAAAATCATAGTTTCAGAAACTACACTGTAAGCATACTTTCATTTCCTCTAAGCAAGGGCATGTCACAATGTAATTAATCTCTGTGGTCTGTTATTAGGTGTTATGTTAGCTAAAGCTAAACCATCAGATTTGCTAAAAGCTATCAAAACTATTGGTTTACTAAATGCAAGGGTGCACTAAAACATATTGAAAGTGCAAAAGGGATTGGCAAACGGTGAGGTAGGTGGCAAAGAAGGTAAGCAATAGAGCTGTAAAA